TGATATTAATTATGTTTAAAATTTATTAATTTATATCGTGAAAGTATAGTCTCATGCTATTTTGGACATTTTAGATAGGATTCATTTGGCAAAATTTTGGGCTGACGTGATCAATTTTTTGGATGGAATGAGTAAATATATTTTGAATAAAAATGTATTATGCTTATCATATGGTTAAAACATCTGCAAGATTTCAAAGCATTCGGTTTTGCAGATTCAAAATTAAATTGTAGGTGAAACGAAGTTCACGGGGTCAGCTAGTGTTTTTATAGATTTGTGCAAAAAATTTTAATTTATAAATTATTAATTCATTTTATAATTCATCATCCTACTACATGCTTTCGTCACAGCAAATTTGTTCTGGGTTATCTTTAATCCATGACAAAACCAGGGCAGTTTTTCTTTCAGCATTTTTTATACATTAACAATTATGAGTACATACAAAAAAATGAATAATTTATCTCATTCCTTTTGCTAAGTACCTACGCAGACACCAACCTCACTTTTACTTGATCATAAAAATATTAGTCGTGACTCATCTTAAACGGTTAAAACCAGGTAATTAAAATGCAGCAAAATGATCGCCATAAGTGCAATAGGTACAGTCTAGAGAAAGTATTCCTATATTCTATTATTATGTACATGGAAAACATGAACCTGTGCATATTTTTAATGGAAATATGCGCCTCTTCCTAAATATACGAAACATAGAAAAAATAGCAAAATATTGTTACGAAATAAACCCATAAGCCGCCCCGGTACGAAGCCTATGGGCCGTCGAGAACTTGCTAGAAGTAATTTCACCACGAAAGGGTACAGGGGTGGGGCTTAAGTTGCACCCCTTGTAGTCGGACTAGCAGTGGCGTAACATCGATGTATTGAGAAGGGAGGCTCAGCTAGATAAAAGCGGGGATAAAACCCTGAGAATTAGCAACCCATGACTATAGTTACATGGTTTTTAATTTTCTGGCACAATTTGTCAATATATATAAAGTCGGATTACAATAAGGCTTAACGTTTTCTGTCTTTAACCTCGAAATAATAATCACAGTTCATATTTTAGCATAATTGTCGTTTATATAGCTTTAACTGTACACTGTACCGTAATTTATCAGTTGTTATTGCTCACTAAAAGTTACCTTTTTACTTCTTTTACTTAGTTTTTTATTCAACTAATACATCATAATACAGCATTAACAAACCGTTAAATTCATTTTCTATAATGTCAACGCTAATAAAATAGAAAATTGATATTTTTATTAACACAAAAAATATTTTGATATTTCAAAGTCGAAATATTCATCCCCGCTGCCACTGCTCTCACAATATTTGTAAGGCCAAACCAAAACAATGTTCTGCGCACTCCCACCAGCTGTACCCTTTCGTTATCAAAGCTGCTCTAGTAAGTGCGGCAACGATGGGTAAGTCATCGTCGATGACGCCGGCCCAGCGGCGTTCGCTCAAAGAAAAGTAGAAAAGCCTGGAGGAGGAAGTCGCGATTGGCAATCTAGGAAGACCTCGACTGCGGAACTTCTATAAGGGAAGCATGGCTTTAAATAGAGGCTACCTTCGGGAACGATTATTACTCAGTTGATTCAGTCAGAGAGTAAACGAATTCAGTTAAGTTGCGCCGGAATTATTTTGTACATAGTCGCTGTGTAATCACTCGTGTAAATCCGAGTTATTAAGAAATAAATTGTTGAGTTTTATCCACGCCGATTTTATTCACCGGAAACGCAATGATATGCTAAACATTCATGCAGTATGCATTTTGCGTAGAATCTGGACTCCAATAATAAGCTTACTTGGAAGTAAACTAAATGTATGATAAAGCAGTTAGCACAACGTCAAAAGCAAAAACATACAAATTCGAGAAGAATATCACATAGACATGACATAGTTTAAAGTAACCCACGAGAAACAAATAAATGTGTAAAACCATAGGTATATTTTTAGATAAAAATTCTCACATACCTACTGCTAAGTAGGTATGTGAGAATAGTCCCACTCGGAAATTTTTTAGGTCATAATAGACTTTGTTGATAATAATATTTTACCTTACTTTTAAATTTCTTACAACTTAAAGATTTAAATTCACTTGGTAGGGCACTGTAGTACGATTATTTAATCGAATTAAAATACAATCTTATCTGATAGAGCGCAGTGCTTGAAATATTTACTTTTTTTGTGTCTAGTACTGTAATAGTGATCACTTTTATTTTTGGCGAAAGTTTTCTTGTGTTTATAAAAATGACAAATACACTTATATACATATTATGTAGAGACAAGAAAGTGTTAATATATCTGCACCTCTCTAAATGCAGTTTTACACGTTTCATCTTTTTTTATATATACCTACTATGATTTGCTATGAAGCAAATTTTCGTGAGCCGGAAAACGGGACGTGGCAGTATCGAGAGTCGGGGGTGAATTCGCGACCGCCACGCCGACGTAGCCAGAAAACCGCAGGCATTTAAGCTGAAGTCTTGAAATGAGCGAGTTCATCGAGGAAGCTTTCGCCCCGAGAGACGAGAAGTAAAAAGTGTTAGTAGTGCAGAATCCCGACCGACCCATCATCTGTCATTTAGTAATGTTTTGGATTTCGCACGATTTCGTTCGCCGCTCTCGAGCGTGCGAGCCGTATCACCATTCCTGCAAATTTTCAACAAAAAAAACACAAATTGTTGATAAAATGTTAATAATGAGTCGCACAACCTCTATTCTTTAGGCACTCAGCTACTCTCCTTGGCATTGATAAAATTAAATTGTCTATACAACTTGAGGTATTGCATCCCAAGCTACCTGGACAGCATCTTGTAGAGAAGCTAATGTTTGGGGAGGATATCCTTACACCCACACATGTTCAATGGGCGATAGATCCGGAGATCTCGGAGGCCATGGCAAGAGGTTCACGTGGGAATTTGTAAAAAAGTTCATTGTTGTGCGTGCAGTACGAGGACGGGCGTTGTCCTGCTGGAAAAGAGCTTCTGGAAGCCCATGAATGTATGGTAACACAGAAGGTCGAAGAATATCGTTAATGTAACGAACGGCTGTCATGTTGTCCTTAACTAAGACTAAGGGTGACCGGCTACCGTACGCAATGGCGGCCCATACCATTACCCCTACAGTGCGGTGTATATGTCTTTCGACTGTAAACTCCTACGACCATCATGGGTCCCTAAATAGAAGGGAGATTCGTTGCTGAAGACGACATTCTTCCATTCGTCATTTCACTACTGACGTTCTCTACACCATTCTAGCCGATGGCTTTTGTGCTCTGGAGTCAACGGCAACACTAGCTGTGGACGGCAACTCCGGAGTCCGAATTCTTGCATACGACGATAGATAGATCGCATTCCAGTGTTCCTCACCAAACCATTTTATTTTTCCCGCTTCTCTCATGGCAACTATTCGACTTCATTCAAATGCATCAGACTGGTAGTACTGTTGAAGTCTTCGTACACGAGGCATGGTGTTTTACACGAGGATTGTCAAAACAAGCATAAGTTGATGGCAAATGTGTTGCTAATAAACAATATTCATTTAAGAAAAGTAAAAGAAAATACCTAAAAAAGATGGTAGCCATATTTGATAGAATTATTAAAACTTTATCATACGTTGTTTTATTGATACCATGATCGAAAAATCGCATCTGTTCTTGAGAATTATGGGGTAAGATCTTTTATTGACTCTTGTGTGACAATGTGCTCTTGTACCATGGTTGTGATAGTGACACATCGAGTCGACAGTCAGGTCACCCATCTAAGCCTTAAGTCTGAGGAGTCCTTGCTTCACTAGTATTGTCAGTTCTCACTATCGCAAGACTCAACCTGTATCATACCGCACTGCATGTTATGTTTTCTAAATGACTGCAAATAATACGACTTGCACTAAAAAATATTTCACTGGTAAGTGGTTTGACTGGGCTAATCGATGATTGGATAAAAAAACGTTTTGGCCAAATTATATACATAAAATATTTTTCTGAGAATTAAAAGAAAATATTTTTGATTTGTAGTACCAACACTGTTGAGTTTTTTATAACGATGTAATTTTATGACGAACGAAAAATATGAAAGAGTGTGAGAGTGTGACTAACAAACATAAACATATACAGTGCATCTTGCTAATGTGTGTTTTAAAAAGTAAACATTATTTTTGTTTAAAAATTTTACGTAGTCCTAGGAGATTTTGATTTATCATTTTGCTTTGTAATTTTTGACAGCATAATTTTAATTGAAATATTAAACACCTTTACTCCAGTTTTTCGAAAAGAAACCGAATGATGGAGTTCAAACATAAATAAAGAAAATAAAGGATAATTTCACTGGAATTGCATTTTTGATGTACACAGTCGAGACAATCTGTAAATCTGGCATCTTTGAATTGTGGTCTTACCGGGTATGGGACGATGTGGGAATGCTGCAGCAAAATTTTGAGCAGTTTCTCTTGTCGATAAGCCTTTAATGTATCCAAAGGTCATTTCCATTTTTACTTTAATTGTGTATTCCGGCAAGTTGATGAATTCCGGTCAGGGAAAGTCAGGATGTCTGTTTTTACATGGCTGCCTACAATATCACCGACAAAAACTCCCAAATAATTTAATTTTTTAAAAGAAATATTGTTTAATTTAAATTATACCTTTAATAAATTTCACAAAACATGACCAAAATTACATCCAGTAAAAATTTCAACTCTCAATCTTCAGTCAAACATAAGTTAACGTGGGGTATAAAATTTAACATGGGAACCCCTACGGCCACTTTTAAAGAGCATGCACTGTATGTATATTTTCGAAATTTATTTTCAAAAAATATGTTTTTTTTTACTTATATTAATTAGTCGATCATTTATGTCTTCATAGATTCTAATTTTTAAGATTTCAAGTAATTAAATGATTGAAAATAGCTGCATAAAACAAAGTAATCGAAGTTAGAATTAAAGGATGCGACTGCGCCGATACCTCGGGCGTCGCTTTGTTAGATTTGGTCCAGCGTCAGTGAAGCTGGGCGAGCGCCATGAGTGCTGCTGATATCAAGAATCTAGTTTTGTTGACATTTACTATAATTAGTGTTTTAGCCACTGGAGATAAAATTCCTTTAGGTAAATACAACATTTTTTTTTATTATCTCGCAGATTAAAATAGGAAAGCCAACAACATTTAAGTTTTGTTGTTGTTTAATTTACAGACTTCGTTTGTCCATACAGTAACACACAACATTCTTAATACAGAATATAACGGCACATGTTTATTTAAATTGTGGGAATAATCTGAAACAAGAATGAAAATTCAGTAAATTATGAAACATGATTTAAATACATTGTTTGACTTAAAATAAAAATATTATCACATTTTTTATCAAATCAAATTTTGTCAAGGTAGAAGCAGTTCCTCTGTTGCTCAATAACCTGCAATGACTATTACATTAAACTAATGAAATAGATTTTAGTAAGTAGGTGTTATTATGATGTTGTTTCAAATGCAATTCAGAATATAGCATAAATTATTGTAAACATTACAAAATTGAATATTGCAATTTAATTTTATATCTTCACAATGTAAAATTGCTCTACTATTTATTTACCTACTCTTAATGTTTTTTATGCGGTACACGGAGTTTTGATATTTTTATTGTCCAAGCTATAGCCAAGGCGTCTTTCCAATTTTATCTGCAATTTTTTTTAATTTTAAATTTCCCGTCTTTGCTTGTTTGTTGACTAACAGTTGATTAAAATTTATAGACAATCTCCGAAACTACCAACTAGTTACTGTAAAATTTTATGCATGTCTTGTGAATATCTTGAAAATGTTAAACCCTCGGTTAAACCAATAACCAATTTTTTTTAATCACCGCTTGAAAACGTTGGTTGTATATATTACTCGTATATCAGAATAAAATTTTATTTAGTAAATTTTACTTTAAATATACAGCAAAACATGACCCATTACTTATAATATACTTTGAGTAGACGGGTTATTGTTGACTTTTCGAAAATTTCATTTTGGAATATTTACATCCAACATTGTATCATATAATTCAATGGTCACTGAAAATGACAAAGTGACACCTTCATTATCATTCATTATTGGCAACAGATTGCAAGCTACTTTGAGATCGACAGCCATTTGAGAAAATCGGTGCCTTTTTTCTTTTGCAAAATTTAAAATTTCGTAGTATAACTTATTACTGGCAGCTACGGACTTTTTAAAGTGTTCAACTTCTTCCTCAGTATACAAGTTCAAATCTTTATCAAACTGAGTAATAATTGTTTGTAATTGTGAATATATTATTTTAGCTTCATCTACTTTTCTATTCAAACATTCACCCTTATTGCGCCTGTCACTGCCTAGTTTAATTAAATATGTTCTACTCCTAATATTTTTCAACTCGTCATAAATTTCGTGTGCTGATACCTACCATCTAAAATTACATTAGCAATCAAAACTTAAAACAAATAGCTGGCTCTTAAAATTGATCATCCAGGAAATGACTACTTATTTCTATTGCAAATATAAAATTCTTCTAATTGTTCATATAACATTCCTTTTAGTGTACCCTGTGTTCCAACTGGCATAAATATTGGCGAATCTACTGGACCATGTGGGAAAATCATACGACTTATACAGGCTTTGGAAGTGCCACATTGTCAAAATGCTAAAAACTATTGGACTTTTTGTTGTCATTCTAGCAATTTATGTTAATATCGATTGTTTTAAAACTTTTCTATAACAATTTCAATTACATATACAACTTTTTTTTATTACTGGTCGATGTCGGTGTTTGAGGTTAGCCCACTGATCTCGCACAACACGGACTTGGCAGGATCGCCATGTAGGGTCCCTGGTTCCACTTAGTCAACGGACTGTTGGAACTCTATGTTTAATTACAAATATATTTTTTTGTTCTTCTCTTTTGCACCGCTTGCTTGCTACTCTCCACACTTACTATTCACTTAACACAGGGTTTCCATAAATGATTATAGGGTCGCAGTACGTCATGTAAACGTGCCGCCTCTCAGATTTAACTGTACGGAGATCCGTACTAAGTGCCCAAGGACGCATGACAAAGATCACACATGGACCACACACATGTGTATAACTGGTTGCCTAAACGCTTCATATGTTTTTAAAAAATAAAACTAATTCATTATGATAAAATGAAACAAATCTATTGCGGTTAAACATTACAGTAAATGTTGAAAATATTCATCATACTGTTCACTCTCTTTTTAATTTCAAAAATGTTCTGTAACATCCTTTCGTCAATAGCTATGCATTTTATTTTGTTATAACCTATTTAGTTTTTATATGTAGAATTTTACTTATGTTGTACCTTTATACTTTATGTTGTTATTATAATTTTCCTGTAATTGGGCTTGTCCCGTTGGAGAATAAACCTTATTATTATTATTATTATTATTATTATTATTAATACTTTGGACTTGTTGTTCAATTGTTCAATTCTGCTCAAGTCGTCTCAAATCATCGACAATTTCTTCAGATGAAGTCTTCCACGAGCTTTCTCTTTGTTGATACTGCCAGTTCGAACAAATTTGTTCATTACATCTCTAATGTGGCCCTTTAACGATATTTCTTGAATTATTAAATCACGGTATTTGGCCAGATATTCTTGCTTACAAGCGGTTACAGAATACACACATTCTTCGTTTACGAAGTCCCATTACGATAACAAGACATAACGATGAAAGTGTCTTGTTCTACAGAATAAACCATTTTCACCGTCTTCGCTTCCTAGGACAAAAACTAAATTTTCGTACGCAACCACCAAGAGTTCTGAAAATGACTGTTTTGTTGTTTTAAGCTTGGATCAACGAGAATTACTGTAATTCGCACTTGAAAAACATTAAAACAATTAAAACGACGACTTTAAATGACATGTTACAAATGACATTAGACATTAATGTGACAAATGACAACTGTCATAATGATGCATAATCACGGGCATAATTTCAGTGCAGGGGATTTTTGAAATCCATGGCCAACTACGCCCTTATAATTATTTACAAAAGCCCTGTACATTTCTTATTACATATATCTACATTAACCCCTAATCTAATCATTCACTTTCTCTTTCACACATTACTTATTGACTAGGTACATATCTATTCCGTTACAATATCAATGTTTTCCATTAATGAAATTGTAGAGCGTAACATCGAATAAAACTGACCATAAAGTGGAAGGTTTCTTTATCTTTGATTGATCCTGGAAGTAGACTAAAGGCACATTTTCTAAGGTCCCAGCGACCTGCTTCTGTGAACACCAGTCTTTATACTCTTCATAAACAATCATAGATTTTTCCGACAATAGGCAATAGGTAACTTTTCTTGCAAATTTTGAGCCTCCTCTCTTAGTTCTGGAGGCGTGCATGGTTCAATTTCGATCACATTCTTTTCTGCAGACATTATTAAGAAAATCCGTAAAATAGTATTGTCGTCAAAAATTTTCAAATATCAAACAATAGTACCCAACCCGGAAAATGATCATGTATCAAACAATACACTTCACCAGCAACTACTTTGATGTAAATTTTTGTGAACCTAAACATTTTGCGTCAAAAATTGAAGGTTTATTTTTTCAATTTATTGTCTTACAATTTCTACTAGTAAAAAATTGGTCGAAACTTGATATTTTTAAAATAGTTACACTTAAAATGTAATTGGTCCAGTCGTTTCGGGGATTCGTCTATAAATTCGCTAACAGACGAGAGACAATAGACGAAAGACAGATGGTAACGGGAGATCTTTATCATATTCTGGGAGATATGAAACCTCGAAAAAACATAAAATTATCATAATACTTTCCTAGATTTGGCTCAGGAAATAAAAATAAAAACATGTTAATGAAGCATAAACAGTATTCCATTTCGAGCCTTCCATTTTAACAAGCATTTATTTAACGTCGACTTTCTAAGATGAATATATTGTAATGATGGTCGCACTTCTTACTCACGTATATTCACATACTTTGATTATATTACAATTTGATTCCCTCTATTTATAAGTTATCTACTTACTTCTACTAACAATCTGCTCACTACAACTATTTCCTAATTGTAACAAATACCTGCTTATTGCACTACAGTACTAATTTTAACTAATCTTGTGCCGTCGCTAATCTTAACAACAAATCATGTCATAACATAAATTTTAAGCAGGATCTACCCACAAAATCAAATTTTGTTAAATTTTCCACCGTTTTCGTTTTTTAAGTAGGTACGCTTAAAATTTCATGTAACGGGTTCCGTAGTTTTAGAGATTACTAAAGTGTTTCTAAAGATATTTGGAAACAGACTTATACACTTTTATTGGACTCTCAGCGGAATATAAATGTCCCTACCATAAATGTTTCAAACGCCCGCACCACAAGTCAGAAATCCACTTCACTGCATTGCATTCTGGAAACCAACCCCGAAAAAGCAGAATACTCGGGTACCTCGGGTACTTCATGGGATTAAGCTCAACAGCAGGTAGTTGAAGGTTGACCAGGGTTTTTGAAACTCAGTAAGTGATTAACTCTGTTTCCAAATATCTTTAGAAATACTGTATCGATCTAATAAAATCAGCAATTGTTTTATATAAACGTCACTAAAAATCTTACCATGAGTTTTGATCTAGTTATGTAAATATTTTTAGGTGCTATTTTTGAACAAGGAACCGATGAAGTGCAAGCAGCATTTAAGGCTGCAGTGTTTAGTCATAATCAGAACGTAACAGTTCGACGTTTCGAGCTACAAGCTTACGTCGATGTTATCAATACAGCGGACGCTTTTAAATTATCAAGACTGAGTAAGTATTTTCACAAATTTTCTAGCAGATTTTTAATTCATTTAAAGTAGTAAAGTATTTAGTAGCAGTAGTAGTAGTTTAAAGTAGAACACCTCTTGAAAGGATTTTTTCAGTAAATTTAGTTGTGTCCATTAACAGTGACATTTAAACGTCAATACAAGTTTAAAACTCACACTAGGGAAAGAAAAGTGTCCTACTTTATTTTGGCCGTCACTGCATATAACAAAGTTTCATATATTGATGAGTTTTACTACCAGTTAAATTTTTTGCATTGAGTTTCATAACAGACTGTATATGGTTTGTATGTACCTACTCTATTAATTTGTTCTTTTGTTGCAGTATGTTCTCAATTTCACAGGGGAATTTTTTCGATGTTAGGAGCCGTATCTCCAGATTCGTTCGATACTTTACATTCCTACAGCAATACGTTTCAGATGCCTTTTGTGACACCATGGTTTCCTGAGAAAGTTCTTGCTCCTTCATCAGGATTTTTAGATTATGCCATATCGATGAGACCGGAATATCACCAAGCCATTATTGATACAGTTAAATACTACGGCTGGTCCAAAATTATTTATTTATATGATTCAAATGATGGTGAGTAGTCAAATTGCTATAAAGCTATGGATATATTTATTGGTAACTGATATAATTTATTCAGTTGCAAATCCAGTTGGAAAGATAACATTTTCGTGAACATATTACTTTAGAAATTAAAACAGAACTGAATTAAAAATAGTAAAATTGTCGGCGGGTTTGGTCAAATTGGTTTTAAATCATCTTTTTAATACCTTCATCCTCAACTATAAACAGCGATTTAAAATGCGTTTACGATAATTTAAAACACGAAATTAAACATATCAATAATAATTCTCGTTTATTAGCATCAAACATTCAATATAAATCTGTACAATCTAAATGATAAGAAATTCAATTAATATTCAAGAAATTACTACAGTCACTCCTTTTGATGTGAAAGTGAAAATTACAATTTTCAAAATACTGAATACATTTATCTTCCTTTTCATCACTAGATAATGATGCAGGGCCTGGGTCACTTGCAGAGGGTCCAGCCACATTCAAATATTGAATAGTTTCAGAGGTTTCATCGTTGTTTGTGGAGGATCCAGATATTGCTCCCTTAAAAATTTTTCTGGCAATTTTGATGCGTTCTTCTACGCAATCTTCAATATACCCTTCTTTTAGGGTAATGGTATTTCCACCTCATCCAGCCAACAGAGTTGCAGAACTTCTTTGGAAACAGTGTCCGCTATAAGTTTTAGGATTTTATAATTGCAGATATGCAGGAATTTTAGAGGGAACTAGTCCAAAATTGTTTATCCTCACTGGCTGTCGAGTACATTTTCCATTATTATATAACAAGAAAAATCGATTGTTAGGTGTATTTTCGGTGCGTAAAGATGCATATTTTCGGTATGCGTCTACAAGGTTAACTGAAAAACCTGGTCCAATGATAGTAAATTTTCTGTCTCGATGGGTCTTGGTATCTCGAAGTGTTACAATCACAACTTCACCAGTATCTTTAATATCGTTGACCGAGAGATCACATAATTCTTTGCGGCTACACGCCCCAGCAATGCCGAAAATCAATGCAGTCTATAAAAAAAACTAAACAATGATTATTTTAGCAAAACAACCAACAACTTACCTTTACAAATAAATATTTTTCATCTACGGCTTCTACCAAGAATTTTTCAATTTGTTCTCGTGACAAGACCTTCGATTTTTTCACTTGATGACCTACATTTATCTGTTTTAGATATCCAATTACACCACCAAACTTTTCAATACACAGATTTTCCGTTACTTTTAGAGTTAATTTTAATATTGAATAATGCGGCCAGTGATGCACGAAACAAAATGAAATTAGTAACATGAACAAAGAGTTTCAGGTTTACCTACCTTTTCATGTAAATAGACAAGAATAACATTTTCTGTTATCAAGGAAGCTTTATTTTTCCCTCGCCAATGACAGAAACTTAAATAGATTCTTTCGTAACACTCTTTGGACTTCACGGGCAACAATTGTTCTCGTAATAATCTTCCTTTTTCTCTAATATTTTCAGGAACATCAAACGGATTTCCATTATTGTTTGTAAACAATTTTTTTGTTTTTCAATTCCGTAGCAACTTTACCAACATAGTTGACCAACAAAAAAAAATTGAATAACACTCTTGCGAAAACCCTTAAAATATCTCGAGTGCTTATGCAACTCGACTTCGTCTCGTTACATAACAACGCACCCTCGAACTTTAAATGAGGGTGTTCGCACTAGTATTATTAATATCTATTAAGTCGCCTCTGCTAATACATGCGATGTACGTGAGTAAACTGGTTCATTATTTTATTGATTGTCAATCAATTTTCAAGACGACCCAATTCATTTTCCCGAAAATTGAGGAATACAGTACTTTTATTTTTAGTATTACACTACATCTATGCAAACTGATATACGTTGCAAAAATGTTGATGACGTCATCGCAAAATTTTCTCACTTGAAACAATCGCGTAGCACGTTTCTTTACTAATACTTGAACATTACTACATATCTTTATTTTAACTTACAATGGTTGTCATAAAACAATAATATTTCCAAAATCAAATCTTTTCATATTTCAAAACAACTAGATTTGATGTATTGTACTTTATAGACGCGGGAAGTTCTGTCGAAATAATGTTCGACCAAATTTTTACTTCTGTAAGTAACCCCTATGGGTTAACATAAAATAAATAACATTTTGCAAAATCAAATTTTATAAATTTTCGATGAAACTGTGGCAATTCTGTGTAACAAATAACTTTGAGCCAATTTTTATTAGATAGATAGTTCTCGAAACTACCCGACCGATTGTTTTCAAATTTGATATGTATGCTGGAAATATCGTGTAGATCATGGAGGTAGAAAGAGAGGGGGGAAGATAGTTTGAAAAAGCACCTGATACCGCGCTTTCGACTGGGATCATAAATGGCTCTTCCAGTTCCTCCGAGAATCTGGTTGTTCCAGTGGGGTACTCGAAAGCGCTTGTCGAGAGGCTGAACATACGACTCAAAAATTAATATGTACCAAGTTAATGGCATCGATTAAGTACATATATATTTGATCGATGTTAATGGTAAGGGTCATGAATGGGTAAAAGTGAAATTCTTTTACTGTTTGCTACCTGTGAACTCATTCGTATCCAAAGTGCACCGCCTCTGATCTTCTGTTGACAACCGACTGCTTTCGATGTAGTACAGAAAGGGTCATAAATGGCTCTTGCGTGGAGCTCTTTTGCCAGCGGATCTTTAACATTGGTTCAATGAGGTACGCTCCCTCCTGTCATCCTACCTCCAAAGGTGTAGATGGTATAACACTAAACAAAATTTGTGTAATCATCTCCACCACCAACAATTTGTTGAGGTTACCTCAACATTTTGGCCAGTAATTGTTATTTGGAATACAAGGCCGAAAAATGTATGTTTGTGAGTATCCGTGATATTGCGGATCCGAGATGTTAGTCCCGGCGGTGCAATACAAATACTCGCAAAAAATTTAAATTTGTTTAAAGCATTAATCGTTATTTATGTATCAAGGCGTAGAAAGTACCTATTATAGACGAGTTAACAGTTTCATGGCCGAGGCGTAGCCGAGGCCAACAACCAGGCGAGGCTATAATAGGTAATTTTTTGCCGAGGTACATTTTACATTTTTCGGTCGACCTTCCCGATTCTAGGAAATTAAAAGTGCGACAACTCTTTATTTTAATAATAATGTTCAAAATGTCAATTAAAATATGTATGTTGATCGTATCTATACGTTGCTAAAATAATCGAAATTCTGAGTCCGCATCGTGCCGCATCCAAAGCGAACGAAAAAGGTTTACGGACGAAAAATGTAAAATCTTCAAAAAAGAGTAGGTAATTTTTCGTTTGAAAATAAGTATGTAAAATGTCAATTTGGGTAGAAGTCGACCAAAAAATTATTAAATTATTTTAACGGAAATGAGATAGAGGAAGAATTTTGACGTTAAAATTAATTCGATTAACGTCAAATATTTATCAGGTATATCATTTTGTAAGGAAAAAAAAACAAACAGTATAATGAGTACATCCCCAATTCCTCCACATATTCAAAGTGCGCCTTAGGAAGTAGTAAATGGGTAAATGCAACAAAAATCACGTTTAAATATAGACGAAAACATGAATTTAAAGTTAATGCAGTTGTGTCATCCGTCAGTAATAAAAAAAATATTGTTCAGTAACCTTTTTGCTTGCCTAGCACTTGAAGAGTGCTTATTTCAGTCCACCTCTCAATTATGTAAAATTGACAAAATTGGGCAGCGACCTACAAAGTACTTAAGTATTTGGAATACAAAGTCGGAAAATGTATGTTTGCGAATTGCGAGTATGAATAGTATTGCGGACCCGAGCCACCAGTCGAGGCGGAGCAACATGAATACTCGTAAAAACATTTTATCGACGTGTGTCCCACAAGATTTTGTGGGCCGACAAAAATTTAAATTTGTTTAAAACATAAAAGATTATAGGAGAAAAATTTTGACATTAGAATTAACTCAATCAACGTTAAGTTTTTATTAGGTCTTTATTAGAAAAAAAAAGACCATAACCACATCCGCAGGTCCTCTACATGTTCAAAGTACTCTTGAGGAAGTAACAAATGAGTAAGTGCACCAGAAGTCAACTATGAATATTTGAGAGAACATGAAATTACATTTTATGCAGTCATGCCATTTGGAAGTAATAAAAAAATCTAGTTTGGTAACCTTTTTGCCGGCCTTGTAATTCAAAAGCGGTGTGTATCGTTCGCTTGTCGGGTTATTTATTTAATTGTATAAAATAATATACTCCTGAAGTTGTGATTTGTAAATCTAATTTGATTTGGGTTATTATTGTTGTTATTATTTTTATTGTTTAATTCGTCTAGTTCTTTAGATCCATAATATAATTCTACAAACGTGCTTCATGGAGCTGTGAGTCAATCAGCCTCCTTGTAAACGAAAGTCCGTGTTAGATGTCGGTTGCCACTATCTCCATCTTTTTTTATTGATCAGATCAAGAACACTTCATTTCATTTTCCAGAAAATTTGAGAATGCAGTACTGTTGTTATTAGTCCTGCGTTGCACCTATTTTAATTGATACCTATGTCCTAAAATGTTGATGACTTTATAGCAAGATTTGGTGTTGGCAAAAAGAACTCACTAGAACTATACTCATAGTACGCTTTTATACCTAAACTTTAACAGTCCACACATATCTTTATTTTAACTTAGAGGGGTTATCATAAAAAAAGTTAAATTCACAAAAGTAAGCTGAATTTATTCGATTGTACTTCAAGTATTGGGAAAGGTCCATCTCAATAAACTTAGACCCATTTTCAACATATATCAACTAGCTAAAAAATGTGTTCGTAATTCTTCTAAATTTACTAAACTGCTAACATTAATTTAGGGAGATACTCTTACCCTTACCATATATTTAATAAGATATAATTATTCATTCCGTCCTGAATGTTGTTAACAAAATATAAAAAGTTGCAAAATAATTTCAAACAACAAAATACTTGCTTTGTTATTATATTTTCCAATATAATACATTTTTATAAAGTAATTGTTTCTTATTATCTCGACGTGTTTGTTAAACAACACCTACTATTAACCGTTTAAAAACAAGTTGTACGGACTATTAAGTTTGTAATTATTTTTAGGTCTACTCAGATTACAGCAAATATATCAGGGATTAATGCCAGGAAGTGAAAGTTTCCAAGTATCCACAGTTAGAAGAATAAGTAATGTAACAGAAGCTCTACAGTTCTTGAGAGGTCTAGAGGAACAGTCCCGCTGGGAGCACAAATATGTAGTCTTAGATTGTTCTGCAGATATGGCTAAGGAGATAGTCGTTAGTCACGTGAGGGATATAACACTAGGAAAACGAACTTATCACTATCTTCTCTCTGGTTTAGTGAGTTTAAATTTTAACATTCTTTACTTGTGCTATTATCACACTTCGGCATCGCCGTCCGATCGCCAGCGCTATTGTAGTCGTAGCCTATAACTTCGGGAATTCTAATAACATCTACTTACTATTTTTTCTCGGTTTTCCTCAGTTATACGAGTTCTCCTAGATGTTAAAATGCTTTAAAAATTAACAATGACTGGTCATTATCACAATTTTCGTGATGATCTTGATTAGATAAACCTTGATTTGCATCAAACGCCACTGAGGTTGTGACGTGGTTGAGACTGCACAGTCGGCTAGCCAAATTTATCGCCTTACGTCGCGCCGTCGTTTTTAATATTTGTCCGGTGGATTGCCCATCACTTCCGCTGTGTCTAACTTTGGTTATTATCTACAATACTTTTGAATGTTTGTGATAAATTAGTGTAGTTTCCACCAACACTAAAATATATTCTAAATGTGTGACGTTAGCATATGGAATGTGCGCAAAATTTGAACTGTCACCAAATTATATAAATTATTTTGGATGCTGTTTTAACCGAAGTATCTTATTTATGAAATGAAATGCACAATATGCAAATTAATATGATAGATATGCTACACCTACAATACATCGCAAAAATTCATCAATTGACTAAAACACTTTTAGTAATAATATACACTGTCTTCTTTACTTCCCTAGCGTAACCAAAGAAAGTACGAGGGTCAGTCAATTATGAACCGGAATTCTGTTTTTTCGAAAACTGTACTAATTCTAATAAACTGCCATAAATAGAATATAAAGGTAGGAATGTAGAGAAGGGATGTGGCCATAGCGGCAGCCGATATCTTTTTGCAATGAGCAGTAGCATCATGTCGAAGCAAGCAGTGCCAGCGTCGGTTGCATAACGCATTATCATTAAATTTCTCGCAAAAGAGGGCGTCAAATCCTCCGAAATTTTAACCAAATTGCTTGCACAGTTCGGGGAAGAAACGTTGTCAAAAACTCAAGTGTACGAATGGTCCAGAAAATTTAAGGAGGGGCGTGAAAAGGTTGAAAATGAGAGTCACCATAGTCCTCACAACCATTTTTTGTTTTTTTTTTGGACTGGAGAGGAATATTGTTTGTCGACTTCTTCATAAACGTCGTACTGTAAATGCTCCATACTACTGCCAGCTTTTGGACGATGCAAAAGCCGCATACAGATCCAAAAGACGCCAAACTCCAATCCGAGACGTAATTTTGCTTCACGATAACGCTCGACCGCACACAGCCCTTTTAACGTCATAAAAATTGGTTGACTTCCACTGGGAAGTCTTCGAACATCCCGCCTGTAGCCCAGATTTGTCGTCCTGTGACTATCATTTGTTTGGTCCACTGAAAGAGGCAATGTTAGGGCAGCGTTTCGAAAGCGACAACGATGTGGAGCAGTTCGTGCGCAACTGGGTTGTGACACAGCCTCAAACATTTTATGATAAAGGAATTAAAAAGCTTCCTAGACGTTGGCAAAAATGTGTAGCCCTTCAGGGAGACTACTTAGAAAAATTCTAGACTTCGTTTGTACATTTGTTTTGCATTATTAAATTAATAAAAATAATTCCGGTTTATATTTGACTGACCCTCGTATTATAATAGGGTCCATCGTGGTACTTGCTACTTTCATATTTTCTCGATGTGTCAGACCACAACAGTATGAAAAAAGTGTTTCCCCGTCTCCGTTTGTATGTCGTCTGTCGTCTTTTATTAAACAGATAATATTTGAAACTACTGGACTGATTGTTGCCAAATTTTATATGTATGTTATGTTAGGAGTATCGTTAAAACGTTAACCAAAATTTGTCTAAGCATTCCCATCAACAATGGGATGACGTCATGTCCAAAATTTACAATAATAAATCTGTAAATCCATATGTCACGGGTATGACAGAATGAGGACTTTTTTTATTTTTTGTTTTAAATTAGAGATATTTTAGAATAAATGCCATTAATACCTAGCATCTAGATTACAGTGTCAAGAATTATTTATAAAAAAATTGACAAGATACAATAATGGGTAAGGAACAGAGAAAACAATATATGGCGTCATGGGTGTGATTCGTAGAAAATTGAGTATAATGTCCTAAAGAAAGATTTTACTATTTCTGTGAATATCAAAACCATTTTTGCTGTTCCTCCAGTACACAAACTAACGAAGAATAGGTAGCAATTTCTGGTTATAAATTACTTGGGGTAACCAAAAAAATTTTACACTGCATCATTTAAAACAGTGTCACGGGTGTGACGTAAATTTGCAACGGCTGTGATTTACATACCTTGAATGTTAAACATTATAGTAAAACTGGCATAACAAAATAAAATAATATCACGTTTTAACATTTTAACATTTTTGACCTAAGAACGGTTACCTTTTGGATATTATTCAAGCAGGTGTAAAAACAAACAATTTGCCTCTTGTTTCTTGATTCATGTATTTCAAATTTTGACTACCATCAACTAGAACTAGGATAAACATTCCTGAAGCACAAGAAGCGTGCAGAAGCGATGTAAATATTATTCAGTTATTTACTTCTTTTTGTTATTTTATGTTAAGTACTAAGAATGGAAATTTCGTATATGTAAAGATCCCTACATATACGAAATTGGGCTGGCGGAAAGAAGATCGAAAATCATTTGATAGAAAGAAAATGATCGAATGTATTTCTTAGAAATGCATAAAATAGAAAGTAAAAATAGTCGAAATTCAAATGATCGAAAAGTCATATAATCGATTTTTTTAAATAGAATTGTTAAATGGTCGAATTGCTATTGATCGAACTAATGTATGATCGAAATACTTTTGATCGAATTATTTTTAGTCGAACAACATTTTGATAGAAGCGAATTAATGTATGATCGAAATACTTTTGATCGAATTATTTTTGGTCGAACAACATTTTGATAGAAATACCTTCTAACAATTATTTCTTCTTATTAACATCACCAACAACTAGAATAATAAATAATCGCACTGCATGCTATATTGCACTTGCAACTCCCTTTAGATACGAAATAAAGAATTCTTGAGTATCTTGGAAATCTGAATAAAAATTCGCTACTAACAACAACAGTCTTCTATTTTCGGTCTTGCGTTTACTATTGCTTCTCGATTGTTGACCACTCAATTGTTGATTCAACTTCAATTCTGGCATGCTTTGTTCTCGCATCAATCCTTCAATAAATTTCCAAATGGAAGGATTTTTTCCATGAAACTGATTTATAAGAGTGCGATGCCACCCTTCCACCAAATTATTAGTCTTTTGCTTTCCTTCCAACGTCTGTTGGTAGAAGTTCCACAGACCGTGTTCGAAAAGCGGTCGTCGACGTTCTCTTCGCTCCAATCGACCAATCCAGGTGTCTTCAAAATAGTCGACGATCGGTTTTCCTTCGTCGCTAATCATTTTTTCATCCAAAACTACCTCGAACGCCCTGACTACGTATTCCACTGGAACGAAAGCAACGGCAACTAGCAGCTTCAGTTGATGCTGTAGTTCGACATCAGTGTCGTAGCGCTTTTTTAAACCGGAGCGTTGAATTCTTCTATAGATGCATTGCCTGAAATGAAAATAACATCCATGATTCGTCGCCTTCGGAAACAGCAGCTTCGAGACGTTTATGGCACTCTGTTCGAAATCGGTGGTTATAGATTTGACAGCGGGAGGTGTTTCCAAAGCCATTCGAACTTGTTCGAAAAATCTCCCGTATGTTTGTTCCGTTTTATTTTTTAGTAGACCATAAATCAAGGGACAATGCATATCTTTGTAACTGCCGTGTATCGTGTATAGCTGGTAGAATAATTCAGGTACAATTTTAAACGTCCCGTCCATATACCAATTTTCGCTTTTCGATAAAATCTCTAGATTCTTTCTTGTGCCAAAAATAATTATTCGATCTTCACATTCAGAATCGTGGATTATGAAGTTTTCGCCTTTGTCCGTTTTTTGGTAAGCTTCCGGGAGTGTCAAATCGCGAACGTTTAACGTTTAACGAGTTCAAAACTAGTCACTTCCATCGTGAGAAACAACGTTTTGCAAAATTCAATTTTAATTGAATTAATTAATATGACACCGTGCTGCGTGATAGTGAAAAATTCTATCTTATTGTATTTCTATCAAATGTATTTATATTAAATAAATTTCTATCAAATGTATTTCTAACAAGTGTGCCTTCGATCTAAAGAAATTCTATGTTTTGTATTTTCGTTCAAAATTAAATCTATCATAATTATATTCTATCACATTTACATTCTATTTTATGCATTTCTAAGAAATACATTCGATCATTTTCTTTCTATCAAATGATTTTCGATCTTCTTTCCGCCACCCACGAAATTGGTTGCAACCAAATTACTAGATTTACATGGTCTACCTTTGTCTAAAAACATCTTGAACGGTTTATACTATTTATTTGCCAACGGTGTAGAACAGGCAAAGATAGAAGTCAATTTTCCTTTGTATAATTTTGTCTAGAAAACCAAGGTTTGTTTCAATCCTTACAGTTCAAAGAATACTCCTAATTTTTTATACGTGAATTTCAATAACAGCCTGTATATATATATTTTAATTTCATATACATTGCACTCACCATCAAGCGCAGTTTAGAATCAATGTTAAATTCATTTAATTTTAACTTTTGTACTTTCGGACGTGTCACACCCGTTGCATTTTTTTAGATCATTCTGCTTTTTCCTTCGAGAAATTTGATGAACGCAGCAGCTAGATAATCTGTTTTTTATTATGTATACCAATATTTAACTTGTGGGCGAATTGATTTAATTCATCTCTATCATTTTTTATTAAAATACAGTCACGGGCGTGACATGAAATCTGATTTATATCCAATATTTAAAAATACTATACTAAGTAGATTTTAGGTATTTTATGTATGGCATATTAAAATTCACCCTTCAATCTTCTCTATATATAAAAGGCAATGTCCCAACTGACCTATCAACGCCCAGTCCAAACCGCTAATGCTAGAAAGTTGA